TGCGGCTGGGCGAGCTGATTTACCCTCCCGCTCCAAGGAGCGCAGGTTAAATCGCCTCCGAAACACTGCTCGATTAGATTAACCCGAGCGAGTCCAGCCTTGACTCTGCGCGGGGTCTTGCGCGGGGAAGTTAATGCGGGAGCTCTCCATTCCCCGGGGCGCGGGCTGAAACTCTCTTTGTAGGTCTGCCCGCTTAGTTAGAAATACACCGACGCGCGTAGAGGCACAGCTGCACCCCCCAAGGTCCCGACGGCACTTTTTAGCCCCGCTAGATCCACCTAGCGAAAAGGCGGTCAGCCTCTGCTCCTCCTTTCCCGCCCCAGATGAACTATAACGGGGCGAGTCAAGCCGCGGGCAAGTGGCGAGGGAGCTGCTTCGCTGCTGCCCTGTCCCGTCCGCTCACCCTTCTCTTGCAAACCCTCCACCCAAGTTTCTTCTGCCAGAGCTGGCTCCCCGCCGCCCCCGGGGAGGGTGGCCGCCCCGACGGGGTCCTGCCTAGGCTGCCTCTAGTGCTGTGCTCGTTTACCTGGTGATGCTGCTTAGTAAAACGCTCGAGTTAAAAGGAAATGCTAAGGAGGAGAGCAGGGAAGATGAGATGCGTTTTGCCTGGTGGAAGCATTTTCATGAGAAAGGCACGGTCTTCACCCCGTGTTTGCAGAATGCGGCTACACGGACGTCCCTTCAATAGCTTCTGACCCCACACAATCCGTTTGATAACACTCGAGAGGTGGAAGAATGGGAGACTTTGTCAATCAAATGGTGCCAATCCCAATGGAAACGGTGCCACCAAGACCGCAGCGCGTTTCCTCATCAACTGGATTGCGGGGGCTGGGAACTCAAGGATCAGCTTTTGAAAGTGCGCACAGGGCTCTCCAAAGACAACAATGTCTTTTTTATACGAGCTGCTGTGCCTCCCCAAGGGGAATCAAATGTGCTCGGCCAGCCCGAGCCGCCGAAGGGCTGCAGCTCTGCCTTGCCACCCATTTCGCCGGGCAGGAGCCGCGGCGGGGGGAGGAGGGCATTTCTGCCTGGTCCGGCGCCTAACTCGGCTCCTGGCCCCAAATTGCTTTTCCCCTCCTTTAGGCACTTTCCGCTCCCGGGGTGGCTCCGCGCCGTTCCTCCGCGAGCGGAGCCCACGCAGGGGCGCGGCCCCGATTCAGCGCGGCGCCGGAGCAGGTGCTCAGGTGTGACCGGCCGGGCTGGCCGAAACCCTCGGGGCACCCGGGCTCGGCGGGGAGAGGGGAAGGGTCCCATGCACCCCGCAGGCAAATTCTTTCTCAAGAGAGTCACTTTCCAGGCGTAACTTTTTGATACGAAGGCATGAGGTGCTCCGTGCTCCCCGTGGGCCGGTTCACGGGTGCGTGTCTGGCTGCTCCAAGCCACCGGCACACGAAGCCCTTG